AGCGTATCCTGCGTTGTGCCCTGAAGATTCTGGGCCAGGAAGTGTGTGCTCAATGCTGGACCTGAATTAGGTCAGCAGCTCAGGAATGAAGGCCTTTCCACTCTGAGAGTCTGTGACTCCCTGAACTTTCCACCTGATGGAGGACAGTTTCTGCCTCGTCCTTTGTAGGTCGCTAACCGTACCCCAGCCACCGTCCTCTTCCCGTGATGTTCCGTGTAGAAGACCTTCCGCACCGACTGCCGACTTGCACCTGGAGGAGCCTGCATACAGCGGAGCAAGCATCGTGTTCTTACAATCACCCCTCATCGAAGTCTCCAGGGGACGTGGGGCCGGAACCCCATCCATGTTGCTCTGCGCTGGGAGTGACACGCCGTCCACCGTCTCAGCTGCTGGCTGACAGATCCAGGTCGCTGCAAACACGACCCTACCCGGTCCTCTTCAGATCACTCATTACTCACCCGCGCGTGATGCTTCAGGAGGAACAGGAGCTGCCCGCACCTGGCAGCCGGGCCTCGCAGTGGCTCCCCCGACAATGTGTCTTGTCAGCCCGCTGCTCCCAGACACGATTGTGAGTCTTTCCGGCGGCGTGTCTTGTCAATCCGCAGTTTGCAGATTTGCATACAGAGGGTGTTCCATGGGACGCCTCGGAGCAGCCCCGCATCTGCGCACTCAGTGTCCAAGTAAGTCTACGGGGAGCTGTCCTGGTGCTGATCCTGCCACGGGGGCCAGGCCGGGCTCAGCGATGGGGCAGAGTGAGGGACCTGCGGGGTGCGGGGCGGGGACACTGATCAGTGAGGAGAAGGGATTCGCTGCTTTCGGTTTTTGCGGTAAAAGGACTTGGGCTGGATACCCAGTCGTCTGTTGTCAGCTGTCAGCCCCACTCACATCATTTAGAGAAAACATGGGTCAGACAGTTTGTCTCGTCACGTCGGCTCACTGCACAAATGAGCAAGATGGTTTTCAGAGATGGGAAGTGATTCTTCCAGGAGAACACAGCTACTTAGACCCCAAATAGACCCCAAAATGCAGGCCCCGTTGCGTGCGAGAATAGTGATGAGATGCAGGCTTCTGCCAGCCTCCTGCCGGCTGTGACGGTCCTACCTTCTCACTGGCCGTCACAAGGATGCACGCTCCGATGGCTCCTGACTCACGCAGGAACTGCACTCCCTCTGTGGGCACCACCTCCTGCCAGCTCACCACATGGCCTCATGCCTGTGACCCGTGGGTTTCTGAAACGAAGATGGGTGACATGCGCCCTGCAAAACGTGGGTGACATAGAACCACCGGGGATTCAAAGACAAGGAAAGTCCTAAAGTCTAAAGAAACTGCCCAGCGTTCATGCGAGCATGTGTTTCTGGAGGGACACTGGGGTCGTCCAGGTTAAATAGGGGCCTTCGAAGCAGCAGACTGAATCTGAAACACTTACTTGGTCCGCCCAACAGCACAGAGTTTAGCTGGTTTAAGACAGTGAATAGATGCGGAGGTTCCATCACAGTGTACAGACTCACAGTTAGAGATGGCGGTTCTGAGGCCCAACTAGCAGTCACTGCAGAAGACGGAGGGGCCCAAGCGCGTGTTCCTGTGACTTCCTCTGAAGGAGGTTACAGGGGTCGGACAGGCTGCAGTGAAAAGGACCCTGCTACCATCTTCTCATTCACATGTCACCTGTTCTTCGTTCATGGAGAAGACACAGGAGTCTGGGACGGAATCTGAATGAACTTGCCATCACCACACACTCGGCTTCAGTCTTGACTCTGAATCGGAGGGGAGGGGTGTTAGGTCTCGGTGTCAGATCCGGCGATAACTATGCTGGAGCTGAGGCGAGGGGGGACGTAGGACCGCTACCTCCCCGGGTAGCAGGCGGGATGGTGGCCCTCTGTGGTTTCCTGATGAGGAGCACTTTTTCCTTCACAGACTCTTCACACTGACCTGCTTGGTCCGTAGCGTGATCTTCTCGAGAGAGACAGAGCGCGGGACTGGAGCGAGGAGGAGAGTCCATCGCCCTCACCGCAGGGACCTTGCGCGCGGCTGTGTGCAGGGCGCTCTGTGCGGAGCTGCGGGGAATGACGGGTGTGTAAGGGGTGGATGGACTCAGCACCTAGGAACAGGGGGAGGCCCCAGTTGCCCTTCAGGCGGTCTGAAAACACAGAACAGTGACCTTCCATTCCTTTCCTTACTCACTGTATTAAAAAATGTAGAGCATGTCAGAATCTGCAGAAAAATGTATTTTCTCCCATCACACCATGGGGTCACCTCTTAAAGTATTGGTTTTCAAACTCGGCAGCTCCAGAACTTATGAAAATAATGATTGTCCCGCCCCCTCCCCCCAAAAAACCTCACTCCCCCAAACAAGACACTCTTGTGTGCTGGAATGTGGCTCAAGAATGTGATTTTGAAGTTGGCCATCCTATTTTGAGAAGGAAACCCTATCTCAGAATAATATACTAACTCTTGTTTCTAATCTAGGCATAAAATTGAAAAAATTTCTTAAAAATCATGTGGTCACTCTATGATCTCCATAAAAGCACCACTGTTACCCTAGATTTTATATATCCCCAATGTTAGGACAGTTGGTGAGACTCTGTGTCTGTGAGCATCACTATGGGATTGACAAGGCTCTGAGACTACCTCACAGCTCTTGTGAGACATAAGCCTTGTGACACGTTCCTGACCGCTCTGCTGGGACAGGTGAAGGTGGCGCGCCAGGAAGGCAGGGTCTAATAGACACTGACCTAGACAGGAGTTACAATGAGGAAGCAGACCCACAGCCCTGAGGCAAGGAGGCAGCCAAGTGTCATTTATACTGTCCTCACCTCCTATTGGTCGCCTGGACCAACCCTAGTGCAACGGGGGTGGGATCACGGGGACCATCCTAGAGCACCCATGACTGCGAATGGACCGAATAGGATCGAAGACCCTTCCGTCCTCCTACTGATGCATGAATTTATTTGGGAAATGAGACCCACTGTGCTGCCGGATGTGGCCCCGTGAAGTGAAAGTGGGACAGGTTCTAACCCACTTCTCTTTTGTAATGAATGGGGGTGCCCACATGCTTTGCAATACTTCTATGAAATAATTACACTTTTGTAATCTTGGGTCTCTTTGTGGCCTTGTAGCCGACCAAATATGACGCGTTGGAGCTTGGACAGTTATAGATTTACTAGAAGCCCATTGCACGAAGATTCAAGCAGTAGGCCTTCCTTTCCCTGGCTGCTCGCACCGGTTTTCCTCCGGCACCCGGGACCCAGGCCTTTGGTCCCGCCAAAGCGGAGAAGCCAAGCCTCTTCAGTCTTCAGTCTTTAGTCTTCAGTCTTCACTCAGCACATTCATATGCAAATTAACCGCCATCTTTGTTGGGTTAATTTGCATAGTCGCTCTGATTGGTTGGTGGGTGTAGCGGAGTGACAACAATTTGCACATTTCTCTTTTATTAGTCTAGATTCCTCTGAGCTGAGGATGGGACAGGGCACCTGTGAGACCAGGCAGGAAAGGGTAATGACCAGACCAGAGTCTCTGTGCGGTGTCGAGGCCTGAGTCCTGGACTATACAGATGGTGGAGCCACCAAGCAGGAAGACTCTTGGGTGGAAAAGTCTAGAGGGTTTACAAGTGAGTCACGGAGACAATGTGTCCGGATTAAGCCCTTCAGCTACTCAGGGTGTCCCGTGGGAGGGAGTCTGGGTGAAAGTCCTGGGCGTGCTTTCTCTGTGGCTTCTTTGAGCACCTTTTCTCCAGTTTGAAGCATTTCCGCTCTGGCTGTCTCCTGGCACCGCATCTAATGTAGGGCAATTGCGTCTAATGAGATGGAGGCCATTGTGGATAAGACGAGCCATCACGCAAGATTATGGGCTGCCCCCGGGCTGTAAGAGGCTTACCCCGCAGTGGCGATTTGAGCCAATGTTATTAACTGCAGCTAATTAGGGCCCCCCTCACCCCCAGGAACCTGGATTCCAGACGCAGCGATGGGAACTCTTAGACCCGTTTACTGAATTACAGAGCAGCTTATGTGGGCCTGTGGCTGGTGCTTGTTCAAATTCCTGAGCAGAAAGGGTTTAGCTGAGGACATCCGTGTGGCCTGAACAGAGAACTGTCTACAGAGACCTCGGGCTTATCCACTGGGGTCACCAGGTTTTCGACTGTAATTGTTCGATGGCGCCCACCCCGTCCAGAATATTTAAAAAAGGTGTTAAGGTCGCTTCCCCTGAGAAGAAAGGAAGGTGCTCATTGAACCTGAGGCTGTTTGGGGGGCGAGAAGGCAGAGCGGTGTCTCCGGTGTGAGCTACCCGAGCGCCGGCTGCTGGTCGGGTGGGAGGGCCTTGCTTTTCTTCAGGTCCCACCTGGCCGGAGGCTGGTGCTTGACTCACACCAGGACTTGCCTCTTCTCGTCCTGTTCTGCCAGCCCAGGTTTTGCCCAAATTCCGAAGGCTGCGTGTGTTCAGGCCTCACAGATGGCCACGTCCTCGGCTTTGCTCAGGCTCATGCTTCCTTTGACGTGCAGGTCTAACCCCGGGTTGTGTCAAGGTTTGCATCTTCTAATACGTGCTGAACGGTGGAGCTCATGCACAACCCCTGGGGGCAGCTCCTCCCGGTGCTGCTCTGGCCCCTCTCTGCCCCGAAGTCTCTCCCCACGGGGCTCTTGGGAATATGTCCTGCAAACCTGCTGGAGGCAAAGACCAACAAGTAGTGAGCGTCATAAATGTGAGAGGTCTGTCAGAAGGCTGGTGGACCTCGGGGCTTTAGCAAGGGCTCAAAGCTATGCACCGGATTGCTCTGTTGAGACAATGGTGGCTCAGGGCAGTGCCCTAACCTGATCATCTTTTACTGTTTACCAAACCTTACCTTTGATATGTCTGTTTGCTTTGCTAAAGGGCAAATGTATATCCCAGTAAATAAAAAGCTATGGGTCCGGAGATTCGGAGAGCCATTCCACTAGAGAAGGGCCGCCGCCTGGTTCCCCAATGCCTTCCACATTTATATTTCTTATCTAGTATATCCATTTGCGCACGGCCCCTTCTCCAGATTCTGAATCCTTGCTGCAAAAGGTTGCGGCACAAACCGGCCTTGGCTTTGAAACCCCTGGACACTGCCTGCGGGACCACATTCCACACTTCTGTCCGGAAGTCTCCCTCCTCCCTCCATCCAGCGCCAGCAGGTACGTGTGCCAGGCACACACTAGAGCTACAGGGTTAACTCCATGTGCTAACTTGTCCTGCCCTGGGCCGCCATCAGCTCGTTTGATTGGAAGTCTGGAGAGTGGTTAAGATCTCCAGCTCTGGGGTCACACTTTCTGTGTTGGAGGCTGCCTCTCCTCTAGGTGTGACCTTGAGTGAGTTCCTCATTTGAAAGTAGAATCTAGCCACCTACCTGCCTACCTGACTACCTGCCTATATCATATAGGCCTCTGTGAGGATTAGATAGGTCACTGCATGCAGTGTCATAGAACAGTACCTGGCACATAGTAGGTGTTCAATAAACGTGAGCTTTGACATTGTCTCATGTGCCTGACATCTCCCCTCTGTACACCAGCCAGAGCTTTCCTTTCCGTTATCTTATCTGCACAGGCGCCCTGTGCTCACCCGGACCTGCTGTGCGGGCACCCCTGTTGCACTGAGGGGCGTGAGAGGAAGGTGGGCACGTGGTGAAGGGTTGATTCTGGCTCAGTAAGTAGCAAAATTTATTGACTTAGCAACATTTCCACCAACACTTGGAACTGGATGAGACTTTCTGTGAAGTTCACAATGTCAAAGTGCGTGCGAATAAGATTTTTTTACGAATGAATCATCAGGCCCTTTGCCATCTGAGATGTGGCGTTGATCGCCCACGGTGGGTTCATCGAAAGGAGTCGCGCTCTGGGGGGTATGTTCACATAAGTAAAGAGCAAGGCTGCACCCAGCGGGACGAAGGGCTGGTTACCGTGCCCACAGGGAGCCTGACGTGCCCGCGGGCAGCCGCTTCCCACCGAGGCCAAGGCTCGTCTGTCTCTGTCATGGGCTGTGCTTTACCCACCACTGAGGCCAAGCCCTGTCTCCGAGGGACCATGCAGAAGTACACGACGCATCTATACTAGTATAGGCCAAGTTCATGTAAACCAGTTCCCTGGGCCTGCTGTTAGACGCCCTCCGTCCTGGAGGACCGAGAAGAAGAGCAGAGGTGGGAGCAGATCCCACTACACAGGAATCGGGTGGGGTGGGGCCTGTGGGGGCCGGATGAGCAGCCCTCAGGGCTGTTCCTGGTCAGAAACATCCAAGATTCACAGAAACTGTGCTCATGAGGTCATCGCCATGTGATAACATTGCCCTGTTTTGCTTTCTCCGTCTTCTAGGTTTACACAAATGACTCATTCGCAGCCCAACACACTCGCATACATTTTACTAGTCAAGACACATTTGCCCCGGAAAAGTGTTGTCTGTGGACGGCAGCCAACGAGGACTGAGAAGGTGTCCGTCAGCACAAGCCCGCCCTCCCTCCGCCCCGTGTGAATGAGCAGCGTCGGCGGTTGTCGCCTAAATTATAGGATCCCAATCAGCCACCGCGCAGGCGTGTAATTACCCAGCGCTTACCGGTTGCCACTAATTTTCCATTTGAAATGTGTCCGTTTTGGAGCGAGCGGAGGACCGCACGCGAGATTCTGAAGGAAGAAGAGAAATGATGACAGCAATGTTGTATGTCCTGATGAACGAGAATAAGCTGCTCATGGTATTTCCACCTCATCTCTGTGTCTACGTCACAGTCTTCCCTGACGCTGCCGGGGCAGCTGGGATAGTTACAGAATGATGATGTTTCAAAGTACAGTATGAGTTTGGCAGCAACCCCGAGTTTGAGATAATAAGAAATAAATATATGCAATCTTAAATGTGAGAGGGCAGCTGTTGGCTTCCCTCTTTGCTTGAAGCTAATTATATAAGAACCTATTGCTAATGCAAATGGAACTCCTTAATTTTGTGTGTGAACATGTATAGTATATATGGGATTGTTAATGTATATTTAATTCTATAAATTAAGCATGTATAGATGTTTCTTGTATTAACTTCATAAAGCAAAACAGAATAGCTGGAGACTGAAAGCCATGTGATATTTAAAATAAACAGCAAACATAGGAAACCCAGTTTGAAATGCCAGGTCTGTAGGGGAGGACACCTTCTGAGCCAGAGGATCGTGTGAGCGTGGGGGGTGGGAACACTGGGAAGGAGGCCCGGAGGCCTGGGCTCCCTGTAGTCTCTGGCCCTGACTGTCTCATGTTCCTCCTGAGAAACGAGTGTGTTGGGTTGTTAGGTGTGATGATGCCAAGACTCTGAGTTCTAACATGACCTGTGTTTGCAGATCTTGGTGTCCCCCGGAGCGTGAGGATGTGAAAGGTTTGACGAGCCGAAGGCGGAGAACCCGCCGGACCTCTGCTCACCTCTGCCCGATGCGGGCCTTCAGGTAGAACCCCTTCTGCTCCGGGGTCTGCGCGGGACACGCGTCCGGTTTATTCTAGTTGCTTCCTCTCCATCTAACGACCGAAGAAACCGAGGCAGAGAATGTGACCGGACTTGCTCAGGTCAACAAGCAGCGAATGGCTGCCGGGGATGTCAGGTAGGACCTGCCGTCACCAGACACAGAGCTGCTCCCCTAGTTCTCGGGCTCTGCGTGACAGCGCCATGCGGATCATGACAACGTTGGCTGATGTTACCCCACGAGTTGTTCACACATAAAACAGAAGGGAAGGCGAGGTGCCAGTTGAAGAGGGGCTGAAAGAACGTCCCCGCTGACCTCCGAATGGTCTCTATAGGATGGCGATGTTGGGAATAAGCAGTATCTAACCTGCCGCATTATTAACGCCTCACAATACAGCGGCGTGACTGGTGACAGAAGTGAAAGGATTTTCCATGTTCCCTGCTCACTGGCCGGCATTTGCTGCCATGGCCGTGGCTCTACTGAACAAAAGTCAGAGTTCAGATTTTGTAACTATCAAGAAAGGACAGTGGACATTGGGATAGAAATTGAAGTTTTAACTTCTATTTTTATTGTTGACACTATTACAGATGACCCTCATTCCCCTCCCCCTCTGCTTCCCCTCACTAGGACCCATCCTCCCCTCCCTCTGGCCCTAACCATGGTGTTGTCTGTGTCCATGGACTATGCATCGATGTCTTAAAGAAGGGTTACAGAAAGAAAAAAAAATGATAGTGGGAAAATTTTCTGGAATTGGAAAAAGAGACATGAATCAACTATATGAAAAAGCAGAAGTTGCAATCACAATGAATGAAAAATTTACTCATAGGCATCCACGGGTGTAGAGAGCGCCTGGGAAGGCACACGGGCATTTCTTTAATTATTGTCAGCTGAACCCAGTGGCTTTGGCAAAGCCACGTCCTGGAAACACGCTTTGCCAAAAGGCAGGAGTGTTGTCAGCTTGACCTTCAGCCCAGGTGCCAGGGGCTGGGTTTTGTTATTTAAATCCAGCCAAGCACCAGGAATGAATACGACTCAGGCCCACCCAGGAATGCACATAATCTCCTTTGTCTTGACCTTTAGTAAAACTTCCTGGTTTTTGCTGTATAAAATACTGGATCCCGTCCCTGCCTCTCCATCAGAGGACAGTGGTCCCACCCGGCCCCAGCTTTTTCCTTCCATCTCTGTGTCTGTCTCTTTCTTTCATTTTCTCAATCCCCAGCAGTCCCTATTCAGGAACCGGACTGTTCTCTAGCCTCGCTGGACTCGGAAAAGAGAGAAATATTCACACACGGGAAAACTACGGAGCATGTAATATGTAGACGAATATCTAAACATTTGCCAAATAGAAAAGACAAAACATCTATAAAGCAATGACCATGAACATGTCTATTCTTGGGAGAAGTGAATGTCCTAAGCTGATGGAATAGGGGAATATTGTGTCCAGGGGATAAGGGTCATGACTTGAATGAGTCTCTTCATACGTCTCCCCAGAAAAACTCTACAGTCATAAAGGAGCATGAGCAGAGTTCCACCATTCTAATCACCGGGACACAGAACATTCCAGAACTTTCAACCACCCAAAAGCAAAGAAGTAAATGCCAAATTCCAGAAGCGCTTCCATCACCATCACAAAGGCATTAGGTGTGGAAAACGGGTGGAGGATGGGGGCTTCAGAGACCCCAA